ACGTGGGAAAACGGAGAGGAATAATTGAGTATAAACTTGTGGCTTGCCAGGATGTCTGTCCTATTGAGCTCTGCACATGGCCAGCAGGCTAGCCCTATCATTAAATGCTATTCTTGCATAACATTCTACTCACTGTGTGTGGGGATGGAACTGAATACTGGAGAGACAATGAGTCTGAGAGTTGACTACTGGAGGGACTTTGGTTCAAGCTAGCTGCTGGAGAAAACAGAAGTCTGAGAGTTGGCTATTGGAGAAACTAGTGGTTTAGACCAGCTACTGGAGAGATCTACTTGTGTATATGTGTTATAACAGGAAGAGACCAGAGAATCAGCAAGCAAAGTAGGATTGCAAAACTCAGGGGTTCAAAAATCCAGGTGATATATCCAGGTCTCAGCAGATGTGGACACCATGAGGTCTGGGGCCAGCTTCTGGATGGACTGAATATCTAAGGTCAGCTATTTGAGTCATCCATATTGTCTGTGTGTATATATATATTTCACTAGTATAGACCGATCCTGATCAGCTGGATCTGAGGAACAGCATCAGGCTGTCTGAGCTGTTCCTGTTTGCATGAGTACTATGGGTGGGTAGATACCAGTCAAGACACTGTGTTCCATCTCTGTTGATCTATGTGACACACATACACATTTTTTTAAAATATGTGTGCTAATATATGGTGCATGCATATGCAAGCCTATTGGGAATATATGCTAAGCCTTAGTGCTGGCCAAACCTGTGGATATAGAGCCACAGCAGCCTTGTAATTATTAGACTACTGGATTCAGCAGCCTCTAACACAGAGGTTTAATTTATGGTATCTGAAGTAAATATTTCTTGAGGCATGAACAACTACAAATGTAGATATTGACTCCTACCTTTCCTTGTGACACTTTTCAATGAGCTGTGACATGCCTTTCAAGTAATCCATGTCATGCACTGCAATTGGCTGAGAGAGGTTCATTGGCATAGGATGGAAGACAGCCTGGAGACATGACAGCCAGTCAATAGCAGGTGCATTTTCCTAGAAGTAAAACAAAGCTTACATGCTGAACTATGAATCTAAACTGAGTCACAAGAAGTAATAGAGAAACTGAGATAGTTTTCTAATGCTGTTAAGAGACACTTTCAACATGTTAAACTGTTTTGATGATGTAGGTATTGATTATAGTAGAAAAAGAGAACTGACTTTTTTTTAAGGGAATCAGCACTGGGGAAGGGAGAGAGCTGTGGCCCTGAAAAAGAAATCCAATTGCTGTCAATTAGAGACCATAAGTTACTAGGTTATTTAAAGCTTGACAGGCCCCAAGTATAAGTTGCAAGACAATGGCATGTAAGCAGAGTGCCCCAAATCTCTTTTGATCTAGATCTTCAGAATGTGAATGTCACATGTAATTGTGTGACTCAAGTTGCAAGGCATAGATACCTGTAGCTCCCTAATGGTAGTGCGAAAGAACAGCATCCCCCTCTGCTGTCTTTTTGGCAGTGGGGTGACAAGTCGCTGGAGGTTAGAGATGAAGGCCAAGGTACGGGAAAAGGGATCAGTGGGACCATCCTGTGTCCCTCCAAGTAGGACTCCCAGTTTCTTCAAATATGAAAGATACAGACGGAGAACCTGCAATATGCACCATATGACCAGTGGTAGAAAAACGACTGAAAATTAGTCACCTGATTCATCCATCCATCCACCCATCCATCCATCCATCCATCCATCCATCCATTTAAGCTTCGATCTTTCAAAACCACTACAGAACCATCCCTAAAACTGTATTCTTCCTGCAACATCCTTATGTAATTCTTCATGTGGAATACAGTTTGTAAGTACAGTTCCTCTCTCAGTGAAGAACACTGAATTCCCAAAAGCTTATTTTTGTCACAGCTTAAAATTACTTTAAATACTAGAATAATTTTAGAGATGTAGGCCTGGCATCTCTGCAGTGAAAGGAGAGAAATGTAATGATATAATGAGCCAGTATTTCTGATCAAGAGAAAATGTCAACTTCTTGTTTCTATTTTAATGAGGTATCACAGCAATGCTTACGATGGGTAGACAGGCTTAGGCTTTTTTGGGGGATTCTTCTGGAAGACTCATACTGAGAAACTGAAATCAACTCAGTTTTTATAAAGTTCAGAAAATTACAGAATTAACTTTGTTACAGTAACTCCCAAGGTCACAGAGCTTGCTTCCCCAGTGTATGATCAAACATTTTAAAATAAATTTAAAAATGCTACCTGCCTCTCCCCTCCATATGCACATTTTGTTATAAAGTCTTACTTTGGACAAAAACATTTTAAAAAACATTCATTCAAGGTGAAATTTAAAGGGAAACCCAGGTTCATAGATAAAAATTTAAATTACAGCATTCTGTTTCTACACTGGAAGTTTCAAACCTTGCAGCTAAAATGGGTTACATTTAACAAGCCTTTTTTTTTTTTTTTTTTTAAAGGGAGTTTTGTAAATAATCCCTTCTGGAGGTATTTTCAGAGGTCACTGACCGTAACCCATGGAAACAGATCACTCTGAACCAGGAGACAATTCAAGGAGATCCCTGCACCAAATAGCTATTTTTACCTTTCTTCAGCCTCTGATATGTTACCTCAAGATAATTTTTCTCTTTGAATTCACTCTCAGATGGCATCTCAAACTCAGGATGGTCAATCTGCAAAAGGGAGTAAAAGAAAAACATCTCTTTACTTCAGAACCCCTGGAAATGTGAGGATATGCTCCACAGGATATGCTAATTTCTGTGTCACACTCACCTGAATAATATTAGTCTTGAGATCAAAAGGACTAGGTCCCACTTGGACTCTGAAAAAGGGAAAGGTGCTGTATCTGCCCATGAGAATCTGAAGAGTTTCATTAAAATCTTTTGTTTTCCCCACACCTGTGATATTCCATCCACCAACCTAGAGAGGGAGGGAGACAGTATGGCAGCAGGTGAGAAAAACTCTTGTTTGATGCTTATTTACAAAACTTTTTTTCCCACCTATGATCTCAGTCATTACGACAACTGAGAAGCAACAAAACATAGTAACAGGAAACTAGTGGAGAGCTCTATATACCCTGCTGGCTTTAAAATGACCTGACACTTTCCCTTAAGCAAAGCAATGAACTGCAAAATGACACAAGAAAATTAATTATAATTATCAACACAGCAAGGTGTGCAGGAAAACAGCTGGATAAGCGGGAGAGAGGAAAGAGGCCTCATTTCTCTAAAGCCATCCAGAAGGACAACCAGGGATCAAGGATTACAGGTCCCATCTCCCTGACAAGTAGATTCACAGGTGGGCTTGCAGTCACTGTTCCTTCTGCTGGAAGGTTCTGCATCCTCCTTGGAGACAGGGCATAAATGCTTTTTGCTGGCAGGAAGATGTACAAACCTCCCTAGGGTTGTAGTCTCACAGACACTACAGAGACTAGAGAGAGGAGTCTCCCAGAAAGGAACAAGAAGGATTTTCTTCTTTAAAAAAGCTCCCTTGACATCCTGGACCACTGGATGGCCATCAGATTTTAGACAGAAAAGTTTCATCCATTTGCAAGATGTTGCCTGGTGTATAAGACAGATCCCACTGAGCTGAGCTTCTGAGATTAAACATGATCCCTCTTTGCAATCTTGGTTATTTTACCATCCTACAGTAATATGTAAGGTCACAAGGAAAGATTCAGGTATATGATGTCAGAAAATCAGATCTTGAAACAGCATTTAAACATAGAAAATTTATCACTTAGAAGTTGTGCTGTGAACCATGAGCTTATTTCAAGGGCAGATGCTAGAAAAATTCCATCATGTAGGACCATATGACCCTAACTGCACACTTTCCTTCTCTTTGAAGGAATTATCTTCTGGAGGGAGAGGAAATAGCACAAACATTCACCTGATTTAGGAGATCCTTCAATGGTTGAGCTCCTTGGGATTCTATCCGTTCAGTATCCATGCAGGAATGATAGAATTTCATTGCTTTCTCTTTGGCTGAGCCTCTTATCCCAAACTGTGGACTCTCTGAGGGGAAAAAACATATTACAAAAAGAATTTGAGACAGTATTAGAGCAGAAAATGCTTGCAAGAAAATTGTGAGAAAATACTGCACTTTTATTCAGAACAATTTAGTAAACACATGCACATTTCCCACAGTCACAAAAAGCAAGGGACCTTCTAGTGCCCTGACTCTTCCTGAGACCAAATATGTGAGTTTATTTGCATGGAAACAGAGGTACAAAGGAAGTTGGTGCATATCTAGGCACATGTCCCACATGGAGACAGAACATATCTCCAGAGTGCGCATTCAGACAAGCACAACAAAAAAAGCCTACTTTTATAAGGAAGCAGGAAAATGGTTTGGGTTGCTGTCAGAATTTTAAAGAGTGACTTTTGTATGTTACACTTGTCAAGGGGAACTAAAATGCTTAAAAGGCAGCTATTGTAATATGACATGCTCAAAAGTAAATCTGTACCTGTAATGACAGAAGAACGAGGAGACGGGACTCAGTCCCTGTTATGAATGATTGTGCTCTCAGTGACTAGTATTCTCAGCTCTGACTGAGGCAGATGCTGAAGGTAACACACCAATCATCTGACCCTACCTAAAAGCCTTTTCAGGATCAACAGGTTTTCTTCCAACAACACATCAAACACATTTAGTGATTCTTCTGCAGTTCTGTTTGAGTGTTTGCCTTCCCAGTTGCCACAGGCATATTTGTAGAAATCCTCACAGGGGTCTACAGTGTCATTTCTAGAACTCAGGAGTCTTTCCAACAGAGCAAGACCCGACTCGACATCACAGGATCCTGGGCAGAAAGTAAATAAGAACTGAGCAGTAACAGTGTAGACTGAGTACAACTCAAAAAAAAAAAAAAAAAAAACCAACAAAAAACCCCACAACAAACCACAAAACAAGCAAGCAAGCAAACAAACAAGCAAACAAAAAAGAGTTCTCTGTCAAAAATGTATTTTTGGTACAAACTCCTTTGCATGCAGAGTGTTGAACTCCTTGTAACTTTTTGCTGAGGATGGAGTGTACTGTGTTCTGTCTTTCACTTTCCAGGAAGATTGTCTTTGCACTTTATAAGGGAGATTCTTCAAATAAAGGACAGTTAATTGGTCCAGAGCTGGTGTCTTCTGTACTCTCTAGAGGTTGGATTATTCTGCCTTGTCAGTGTCTTTTGTCTGAATCGGTCAAACTTGGCCAATCAATACATTAGAAGCAACTGATGGTGTCAACACATGATTCAAAAGCACATAGCACAGATAAAGTAATGAGATGAGATCAAAATGTGGCTTGTTCAAGCATGGGAAACATTTTTCAGAAATGGTATTTGTTAAAAGAAGAGAAAGACTTTCTACAATATCTTACTTTTGATCTATAACTCTCTTTATCTAAACTGTTGCAAATCACTGAGTACACGTTCTCATTTTGGTTCAGTGTCTTGTATCAACATCAGATCAGATCAATTATTTACTGAAATAAACCACTTGTAAATCAAAGTGAGACTTTCCATACTATGGTTTCAACCGTTGACATGGGAAGGGGTAGGCAGAGCGGAAACAGACAAGACCTAAACTAACAGGTTTTCCTTGGTCTCTGTCGTGAACAGTCTCCAACGCATAACAGGAGTTAAAGAAAAATGCTAAGTAAAGAGTCAACAATTATTATTTTGGAGCAGGGAATGTTTGTATCTACCAATATAAATGCACCTTAAGTACTGAGCTGTCTATATGCATAGACATTGGCATGGACCATTCTGCACACAGTTCTTCAGCAAATTTGAAAAGCAGATTTATGTTTCTGTTCTATGCTCGCAGTTTCTCCATTAGCAAGAGACTATGACTTTTCTTTTTACACTCTGACTGCATTAAGCTGTGCTAGAAAACCAGGACTAGACTTAAATCATATATGGATAGGCAGAGGAGGAGCTCCAAATCTCAGATTCTCTTCAGTTTCCTAGAAGTGACTACAGACACAGCAGGACACAATGATGAGATATAATATAATTATAAGGCAATATAATTATAAGACAATATAATTATGCTCTCCCTCAAAATTGGTCTCAGGATTATTAAATGACAGGAAGAGGAGGAAGACAGATGTGGGGAACTCTCCCCACGGTGACCCAAGGAAGAGGCAGAAAAGTGTGCCTTCTTTACAAGGGGAGTTATGATTCCTGGGGATTCTGAAAGCCTGTTTCTTAACACTGATGTTAAGCTTAATGCACAATGGAAGCAGATAGGAGAGAAAGGGGTCTTACAAATGGGGTGGATGACGAAGAAGGGAAAAGGATATCCCATGTTATACCTAGAGCACAAGTCATCACAATGTAGGTGATAAGCAGTGTAAAGCCAACGAGAGTACTGAGAAGAAGTATACAGAGATATAGTCTCTTCCCCTGAAGGCATCGTTCTTTCTTTGCATCTGTTCTCAGCTCTTGGCCACAGGTCTGAAGAGGCAGAAAAAAAGAAAAAAAATTCATATTAAAGTTAGCACTGATCATATACTCCCATCTTTCACCTAATGTACTAGAAAATCACTCACAGGACTAGTGCCAGAAGACCAGCAGCAGTCACCCAGGTCATCTAAGTGACTGTATTCCTGGGGGCTTTCTCACCTTCTTTATTTCCATGTTTTTTCAAGCTACCACTGTTGCACAGTGCTATGAATTATGTATTGAAAATCCAGCTTGCTATGAAGAGGCTTGTCCCTCCATAATTCATTCTGGTTTATGGAACTACCTTGCATATACCTACCTTCTGAAGATATCAAAGCTTTTTTGAGTCCATAAAGCTAATAACAGGATGGCTAGGACTGGTGGTTCTTTATTCTGTTACAGTCTGGCAACCTGAGCACTAATTTCAGATCTCTCCTCAAGAATTAAGTACTGTATCCTAGGCCCTCTAGTCCGGTTGAAGTGAGAGAAAAGATTTGCCTTATTCTACAAACTGCAGTAAGCTGTAAGTCACCAGGAAGATCTTATATACTCTTGCATACAGGTTTTATCTCACTTAAATTTAGTTGTGTTCATAACCTAGGTGTGTCTTTTTAGTCAGTGGAGAAGGCTAGGCACCTTATGAGTACACCTTCTAGAGTAGATATATGCCTTAGGATGATCAGAATCATCCTCCAGGTTTACTGGTCTTTTTCTCTGTTGACTGCAAAGAAAGCTAGATGACTATCTTAGGATACACTCCTAACATATACCTGGATAAAGTTAGATAAGATGGCATTAACTCTGTGTGTCCACTGGTTCTGCATACTGTGATGCATGTAAGACTGGAGAACAGCAGTTTACAAAAGAACAGACATGGGAATTCATGCTGGCAATATAAGGAAAGGGAAAGAACTGAAAAAAATGGGAAGTGGAGTGACTGAGTAACAATATACAGTGAGAAAAGGAAGGAAGAAGAGGAAAAAAAACCCAACCCAGAAGGTAATGGAAACCCTCAGATATAGCAAGCAAGTAGTAAATCTCATAGTTACAAAAGCTGATGGAAGTGCTACTTGGAAAGTCCTACATGCCAGTGTCAGGGCCTGGCCTGTATTGTCCCCACAGGCACAAGTTTAGCTCCCTGTTCAAACCTGGTTCTCTGATAAAATAAAGCTGTTTGAGGCAACTTGTCAGGCCTTGGAATGCTTTGAGGAAAGGTGAGAAGCAGCCTCAGTGGACATGCCCACTTCTTCACGTAGCAGCTGCTTTTTGTAGCTCTGATGCATTATCTCCATCTGAGCTATACTGCAGTGGCAGCCATGTCTACGTCTGGCCATGCATCCCATTGACCTGGATCCTGACCTTAACATGCAGATTTGATTCTGCAGGTTTGACTTTGGACTTGCCTAGTAATCTACATTCTTGACTGACCCTGACTGCTGTCACCAGACCTGATTTATACCTGTCATTCCCATACTGGAGGGCACAACCCTTGCTGGTTAAGTCATTACTTCTTGCCTGCCTTGTCATGACTCTCAAGTTCCAGATTGTCATCCCCATTCTGTCCTTGCTGATCCCTTACACACAGCAGCTAAACTGCATTTGTCACCATGCTCAATATCTATTTCTTTACCACAAAACCACAAAATGCAGATCTTGACAAAAATCACAAGAAATGAAGCAAAACCTTACAAGAATAAAGTGCATCACAGCATATACCTCTTTACTTAAGGAAATGCTAAGGGAATGAATTTATCTGCTGTTAATAATCTTGATTAATACTCTATGTACAATTCCTGCACAAAAACATTTATAGAACAGAAAACATAAAACACAATAGAAAAACAGACCTCATAATTTCATAACTTTCAAAAGTGCATTTTATTCAATCATTAACAGAAGCCTCTCAAAAGTTTACTTGACTCATGGAAATTGCTAAGGAGGGTAAAGTGCCTAACTGCTTTTCTCCTTTAAAATCCCATTCTCTTGACTTTTTTTAGTCTGGATACAGAATAACTAAATGGAGTGCAAGTACATACAAGTGAATCCTGGCATTAGAACGTGTTAGACACAGAACATGATCATACTGGCAAAGTACGGTGCATTAAATACAAAGGAGAAAATTCAAATTCCTTTCATAAAACCCTGTGGCAACACACTTCTGGTTTTATTCCTGGAGTAACAGATCAAGAGTCACAACCTAATAGTATATCAGGGAAGTGAGTGAAATAAAATTAGCTCAGCTGATAAAGGAAGAAAAACTGTTCTTCAACATGCAAGCCCTTATCTCTCACCATTTAGAAGAGAGTGAATGATTCACGTTCACAATTCTCCTGTCTTCTCTGCTGCAATAGACTTTTGTTTTTCACACTGAAAGTCTGGCCTGTTCCTACTATGAAATATCTAGAATTTTGCAGTTCTTTGATTTCATGTTATCAGAGGACATCTGTTTCTCTCTTTTGAGTAACAAATGGCATGGCTGTGGACATACTAACAAGAACCTGGTATTTCAAGACTGCCAGAGCAATTTCTTATGAACATCTGGTTAACCATAGGCCTATATCAGGCCTATATATTATATTTACTGTGAAATGCAAAATGCATAAAATAATAGATTTTAAAAAATATGTCAGAGAAACAGGATTGGCCCTCTCAAGTTTCCAATGTGAAACAACTACAGAAATATTTGGCTGAAAACAGCACGCCCCAAAATAATAGCATACCACAAAAGAAGTGACAGGGGAGTGGAAATTGGCTGTGTACCTCTACTTAGAAACTGGATTCTGGTCTGTGTTATGTGAATCATAATAATAAAAAGTGTTCTTCAAACACTTCACCTTCCATAAGGAATGTCTTTCTAATCTCGCCTCTGTAACTGGGGCTGGATTTGGGAGAACTTGTGGACCTACATAAACAGAAAAAAGAGGAGGACAGTTATACTCAGTTGTCCCTTTTATCTTTTTCATTACAACGGTTTAAACAAATCTAGACAGACAACTACCCACTCTTTCAGTTTTCTTATACAGATACTGACCTGGGCAAAATCTCTATCAGACTCTTTATCTAGAATGAACTTCTCTTGTATGCCAAAATGAACTAAGTGGTTCACAGGCAGTGAAATACGGAGCCCTGCCTAAGTCAGTGATTCTTGGCCAAGGAAGAAGTGTGGATTTAACTGGCTGGAACCAGAGGTGGGATACAAAAACTTCCAGGGCACAGGATCCAAGAACATTACAAAGCTGGAAGGAAGCAGCACTGTACTGTGGTATGTTTTGAGGCTTGGTTGCCTCATCCTGCATGCTCCATATAAAGATACAAGTGAATGGATGGAACAAGTCTGTGGAAAAGCATAAAGGCACTCCAGTATTTGACAGAGCTTTTCCTTATAGGCCTCACTTATGAGTGAGAAGAAAAATTAGTGTTTACATGAAGTTGAAGATGAATGCAATTTCCAATACATTTTCAATTCTTTCTTGTTTTTAAGAATATGCAAGTGCTCAAATTTAAATGGCTTCACTGTAGCTAAGTGAGAGCAGATGCCTGTAAAGTCGGTGAAAGATGACTTGTAAATGTCAACAATAATACAATGAGTAATTTTGAATTAATGTTCAACATGAATCATCTGATTTAAATGTGAACATGACTTAGGCTAGCAGAATCATGACAGGTACTGTTATCACAAAATCAAGAACTGTTTGATGCAACTAAATCAGTCAAACAATTTGATTTTTCTTCAGTATCTCCTTTCTTCTGTTTGTGAGCCACTCCTGAATTCTGCAGGGAGGTTGAAGTCCCTCACCTTGCATTTTCAGTGTTGACTACTATTGCAGAAAAAGAAGCATCTAGCTTTCATGAAAATAAAGTAAATTAAAATGAAGATATCAAAGGCAGAGAGAACTGAAGTTATTTTCCATAACTATTTACCATATAATTTAAGGGTACTATTTTTCAGCCAGTAGAACATTCATGAATTACTGACTTTGGCTGTTACCCAAATTGTGTTTATCACATTAGTCATGTAGATGACATATTTTTAAACTAATGCCCCCAAACTCGCAAAAAACTTAATTTTCTTAAATTTATCTCTTGTCAGCACATCACTTATGCACATAAATGCAGTCTATTAAATACCATTTGAGAAATATTTTAGCTTTTGTTCAAAATAGAGTACCTGCTAGCATGAAATATGAAACAGAAAGGTTGCTGAATTATATTCCGGGCTACTAGAATTTTAAAGTATAACCATGGCCAATAACTATATACACATTTCTGGGTTTGTATTATTTTGACACATAGAACACTTTACATATCTCTGCTATCCTTGAATGCTTTGTACATTTTTGTAGTCCTGAACTAACAGTTCAGTTCAGTGCAGTTTGTCTGTAAATATGCAACTAACACTTTATTTATATGACATTAAATCAGAAAAAGGACACCACACTACATAAGAAGCAATTAGGCTTACCATGACATTCTCATATTCAAAAAACTATGCCATATTTATCCACAATTATTTGTGGGGGAAAATATCACACACTCCTGCATAAGTACTTTCTTATAATACTTCGTTGAAAAAAAGGAGATACAATAAAAGATGCCATTGTTACTACTATTATTGATATTGCTACTGCTGCTACTATTACTATTACTTATTGGTGAGTACTTCAAACAGTTCTGAATACAGCCTCAGAATGGCCATTAGGATGACTAACAAGAAGGGCAAGAACCTCTAAATCCATATCCCACATCATTAATTCCGAAACCCAGACAAGCGCTTTCTGGACACAAATCGTGAAAACTTAACTACCCCAGTTTCCCAAAGCAATAAGCAATGTAGCTGTGATAGGGGAAGGAAAAGAGGTGTACAATGATGAAAACTTAACTACCCCAGTTTCCCGAAGCAATAAGCAATGTAGCTGTAATAGGGGAAGGAAAAGAGGTGTACAATGAAGATACCTCAGCACACTGCAAGACAGACCCATTCCTTACCTCTGGAAGAGTGCTCATCCTTGTCACTGAGCAGGCTTTGCTCCTGCGGTTACCACAGTTGTCAACTCTGTTTACTTGCTTGCTATCAGTCTTCTGTGTCCAGACAGACTGCTAAGTTCAGAGACAATCTCTTCTTCCCAGCTTGGCTGCTTGCTGTGGGGAGGAGAAGACAGAAGAAAAGCTCTGAGAAAAACACCCTTAAAGAAAAAGGGAGGGAGGAAGGGAAATGCATGTTTCTGCAACTCTCCACCCACCTTCTTCATACCTCTGCTTCTCATAAAACAGTATTTTTGTTCCCTTCTTTGCCTCTCTGTGACCCACCCATCTTTCTGACTCTTGGAGCTCCACTGAAATCTTGTTGAACAGCAGTGTGTGATTCTCTATCTCCCTCAGCCTCTTCTCAACTATTTGCTGCTTCTTTTCTCTCCAGCAGCCTCACTATCCTGCCCACCCAACAAGCATGTTTTGGTCTGATATTCTCACTGCCACTAGCCTGTTTCAACCTGCTGCTGCTCTGGGCCCCGGAGGCCTCTGCCTACTGCTAGATAGTGTGGGCTATGGATCCTAGTGCTCCTCCTCCCACAGAAGAAAGGCCAGGGTGCTGACTGACTTTTCGGTCTCTCATCTGCACCCTAGTGTCCATTCAAGGGGTGAATATACATGCCTTTTTCTTCTCCATTAAGTGGCATAAAATAAATAATTCATTACTGATTCTATTTGCAGTTGTGCATTGCTTGTCAGGTGATGGCCAGACTCTGTCTCTTTGCTTATTTAAGGATGCATGTTGGGAAGATTTGGGAGGGAGGTTTCTCTGCTTTGAGGACGGGGAACTAGGCTCAGTTCCCTAAGACATTAGAAACTGAGTAGTAGACATTGGGAGTCTAGACCTTCTCAAGTGGCAGCTGGGAGCTGAGGGAGATGGTGGGGACCAGTTTGCTGCCAGTTTCCAAAATAGTTGAAACAAGCAGAATACCAGGATGGAACTGTTTGCCTCCCCACATTGCTAGTCTGAAGATAGTTAGCTATCTGTTCTGCTGCTTAGAGCTTCCCAATTCTTTTGCCTCTCTCCTGAAGTCCAAATCTTATTCTCATCTTCATCAACCTGATTTTTTCCTTAATAGTATAGTGCTTTTTGGTCAATATGCCAATGGGATATCATTGGAGTTAACATGGTTTCAGATACCAGTATCTTTTAAACAGGTCCTCTTATCTTCTCTTGATTAAATGTAATTTTACCACATATTACAAAATATTACATTGATATTGCCACACCACATGGATTGTACCTCACACACTATCTAGAAATACTTTGAATGCATATATATGGATCATTTTTTCAAGACCTTGTAAACTAATCAGGACATATCTTGAAATGTAGACGGATCACAACTTCATTGTAAGTGTGCATGGGATGTTTCAGGAAATGAAATGCACTTCTCTTTCTCAGTGAAGAGCACGGCTCTTTGAGTTAGTACATATTTCAGTGGTGCTGTGATGCTGAGAAAGGTGTCTTGCAAGTCAGAGGTGATTTCCTCTCCTATGTCATCACAGACCATAATAACATTATATACTGGATCTAACAGACAGTACTGTTGGATCCCTTTGGAAAACTATGCTCCTGAGTAGCATTTTGCTGTGACAGAGGTTGTTAAGTAATTCAGTAGGAAAGCTGAACTGTTATGGAGAGAATCAAGTTGTTGAAAGTTTATTTATTCCAGAATTCATGTATCTCTTTGGAAAGAATGTAGTCTGAGATATTCAGTTATAAGACATAATCTACCAAAAATTGTATGAGCCATACCTTGGAAAAAAATCTGTATGGCTGTGGTAATTAGATGTACAAAGTAATTCAGACACTGTAGATATGTACATTTTCAAGGAGAGTTTCTTGCATCTATGAAGGTAAGGACAGAGCATATTTGCATCTGGCAGCAGTAAGGCAGGGAAGCACATTTTACATTTTTCACGCTACCAATTGGATATGGAAATCTTTTTCAGGTTAGGTGCCATAGAATAGTGTAATATTTGTATATACATTTAAGCCTTGAAAATGGTCTACCCTGAAGGGGATTGCATGATGGCAGTGTATATTCAATAAACTCAAACATTTATTGAATGTACAGCCTGTAGAGCTTTGGGGATTTTGAGAGCTGTGTGTGAGAAGTATTCACGTATACAAGAAAAAAGGTGCTGTATATATGCTGTTGTTTTTTCCCCTGTAGTACATGTGTTTCTTTGAATACACCTTTATCAACTAATGAAAGTGAAGACAAAAAGTTGTAAAACTTTTCTAACTAAGAAGCAGGAAGAGGGGTTTGGGGCAGGGAGTAGGGAGGGAGACGTCACAAGTAATCCTTATCAACTCATTCCCTTCTTATCTTTAAGGCACATATGACAGCTCTGCTCTCGAGTCCACAAATTAGTGAGAGAACCTCTGGCTTTTTACTCCGTGACAGACATTTTCTCTTCTTTATACACAGCATTAGCTTTTTCAAATCTAACACTAATCAGCACATTGAAAAGAATACAATGTTGGACATGCTTTGCAGCTGTTACACATGAAAATGTTTAATGGTAATTATCTTTTAGATACCTCTTATAATTAAATAGACATTTGATTCAAAGAAATATGAACTTATTAAGTACATTGATGTGTGTTTGACAGATGTTGCAAGTACTTCTTACACATTCAAGATGGTTAGGAATCTAAGGTAGATTTCATAAAATTATTTTCTTAATATCTGTCCTGAAGTGAAATTGAATTGCGACTTTGATCTTCTACATTGTGTGAATAGTAGATTCCCCTGTGACAGTTTGGTAGGATGAAGTTTTGCTTCATAGATTGATAGCCCAGCTTTAACCTTCCAAAAATATATTTGTATCATAGACTGCACAAAAGATTTTCAACTTCATGTAATTAAATGATAAAAGAGCATTAGAGAAACACAATGAGGCAATGTTGATGTTACTGGCCATCTGGAAAACTCATGTGAAAAGGTTATCACTTGCAAAGAGACTGCATTTAGCTTTAAAAATGAACTTGTCTAACTCAAGCTTTTCTACCTCAAATAGTCACTGATGGTACTACCACTGACCAGTGTGACTTGTGGATGTACAACATGAAAGAAATTCTCATTTACATGAAAGATTGTCTGTTAAAGGTTAGTAATAGCTTTACTAGCCATCAAAAGCATTTCTCTGAAAACATGAGAACACTGCAGCACTGTGTGAGCTTGTAGTTTCACCAGAGAAGTTCAGAAAACTGGAGGCAGCATAACCTGAGAGTCATAATAATCTATTGTGGATGGGAGGACTGATGACAGAATAAATTGATTTTAAACAGTCCAGAATTGGAGCTGACAGTCAGGGATCCAGCAGAATGTTCTAACTGTCCAATGTGTGACAGATAGAGATCCTTTCTAGGGCAAAAATGCACTCAGAGACTCTTAGTCACATATGCAGATGGGAACATTTTATTCCCCTTTTTTCCACTAAAAACTTGCTCTCTCATCTAGCCCATCAGTACACAGACTCAAAGAGTCACAGAATAGTTTGGAATGGAGGGGAACCTTTAATTATCATCTAGTTCAATCCCCTGCCATGGTCAGTTTGCTTAAAGCCCTGTCTAACCTGACCTTGAACACTTCCAGTGATGGGGCACCCACCACTTCGCTGGGCAACCTGTAATTCTAGCTTCTCTGGGAAATCTTTTCTCAGGAAAAAGGACAGAAAAGTCATTGATACTTATAATGAACAACAACAGTCAACAGAATTTAGGTTCAGAGGAGACAGGAAGAAGGGGAAAGACCAAAGGTTGTAACCACAGCCTAGCTCAATATGTGACAGTTTGATTACCTGGATTAATCTCTTAAAGATGATGGCAAAAAAGGTGGAATAGCCTGAACTGTGCGAGTCCTTCAAAGTGAAGATTCATCAATCCATCCAAAAGGAAGACTATACTGGGTTCTGGATACAAGATATGTAAATCAGGAAGCAGATAGGAAGGGTAGCCTTGATGACAGAAAAGAGGCTGGTTTCAGGTACTAGAGAAGGGAAGTCTGAGAATGAAGATAGGAGGGTAGAAAAGACATTGATGTTGAAACTACAAAGCACTCACCCTATTTTTCCCTGTCCTACATGAACATACATGAGTTTCCCTGGGCATAGCCCTATCCTCCATGAGTGTCACATTATTTTCTGTGTTACTTTAATATCTCATTTATTGCTTCACTAGGCACAATCTCTAAGAATAAACAGACTTAATGATAATATCACTTCAGGCTATTGTTAATCATTTTGTAGTTTGTTATAGTTACTGTACTAGTGAGAACTTGATTTTTTCCTATGAAATAGGGTAAGGATTCAGATTTTTAAAAGATATTTTAGTGATATTTAGTGGTTGTGTATCTTTTTATGTATTCAGACATTAACTGTGAAGCCATTCCAAAACACCCAAGAGGCATTGTTTTCCATTCAGAAAAACAAGCCCTAACCTCTGAAACATTTATTTAAAATTAAGATGAGCAAGAAAGAATACAAACATAATCACTGAATAAGCAGCCACACAGCCTTCTGTTGAGGAGGCATGCTAAGGCAAATGAAATATCTGAGTCCAACAGACTGCCCGAGGGCCTCTGCTAGAATTGAATGTGCACCAACACCGTTCTTGCTTCTTCACAGACTACCACCTTCCAAAAATACATCCTAGAAAACCATTTTACACAGTTCTTTAAAGTTCTGGCTACCTACTTTGTTTTTT